CCCCCCCCCCGCCATTTAGATTTATGAGTTCTAACTTTCTAATTTTGTATCACGTAAAAAGCTCACATATAATACTCACATCTTTGCAAAGCACTTGTTGACTGCTGAAGTAAGGGTTACTCTCCATAATTGTAAAAGCAAATTGAGCAAAGATAATCTTCTCTGGAAACCTTCTTCCACCCAGAAGTCCCTCTCACTGGAATCCAAAGAGCCAAACTTTCTTTCCACTGGTAATTTGGGAATCTGATCAAGAGGGAGGGTTCCTCCTTCAGATGGGATGGAACAACTTTAACTACTGTGGTTCTTTTTGCATACAAAGCAGATGTCCTGACATTCACCTATGAATGGAGATTATACTGATGTGAGCATTATTAGTCATTCAGATTATTTCCATGTTTCTTCTTTCATGGTGGCAAAACATTTAGTCATTTACAGCCTAAAGTTACTATTATTCAGCTATACCTACTTGGCCATTATTAGCATGGCAACACAATCACATCTGGAAATGTCTATGAGGTTTTCAGATTTACAAAAGCAGAGTTAAGCTCGGCAGGAGAATGCACTCTTCTTTTCTTTGCTTTTCGTAGCAAGCAACTTTGGGCTTTGCAAGTCCACATTTTGAATTTGAAACCATATTTAATACATTCTAAAACAGTGTACTTATCAAATGCAAGCACAAGTATCAAAGCATCAAGTTTTTCATATGAATGTTGACTAACAAAATCAGTGTGAAAAAAAAGTTTGTGCAGTTTGATAGCGGTTCTTTTATTGAGCTGTTTCTCTGAGGTCTGCACTTGGAGATTGTAGGTAATGGATAAATGCTGTGATATTTATAACATATAGCTTCTGTTATAACACTTCTCTTCCAGCAAAGGCAGAAATCGCAGTTGACCTTAAGATGTGAGCCGAGATTTGAGGTGCTTGCATACCTTATATTATTTCAAGTTTGACCCAAGATGTTTGGAGAAATTTGACCCTGACTTGAAAAATAAGACATGATGAGCACTTAATATTTCTTTTACTTGAATATTTCACAAGGCCATCTCAAAAAGTTGAATGTGAAAGCTTGCGGTGGTCCAGGCTGGAAATGACAAGAAATACTGAAGGACTCTGTATGGTACTCTGTCAATAAAATGGTGAGAAACTAGTGTTTTAGACTAATATTTCAACAGACAGTGTCAGCCAGGTTTTTTGCAACCAGCTTGACTAAATCTTTACAGTCGCACTGGCATTTTCATTTTGCATAACTCATCTGTAAATCTGTTTCAACAGAAGAGTGGAGCTCCCATTGAGAGCCATTCCAACCCAGCAGCACTCAGGACAGCAGAGGAAGGCTTTCTGAGCCATAAAAACAAAACATAAACAACACTTCGGAGAACTGGAATGACATTGGAAGGCCAAAGAAAACAATGTGAAACACTCAGCCAGTACAGAAGATGAAATCAAGGAGATACAGTAGGGTGACTTGCCAATTATTTCCTACTACAAAGAAAAAGGGTGATTAACTTATTTCTCGTTTCCAATCAGACAAATAAGGCATAACTGTGAACACTTTCTTTTCACCAAGGTTTTCACCGTGATGCACATTAATAATATTTTTCATATTTATCAAGCTTATCATCGCTATTTCCACTGTTGTTTCATGCACTGTTATGTGAACCGCAAGCTTGTATTGTTAATTAATGGGACCACAGACACAACCACCCTGTTTCTGAGAAATCATCAGCTACTTGCCATCTGCAAACGCATGTTTGTCGATGCCAGACATTATGCTTCTCGTGAAAGCAGTAGAGAACGCTAACTTAAGTTCCTTTCTGAATTCTGTTAATTTCAGATTTTTCTCCATGAAAAAAACAAAACTGTGAATTGTTGTTTTCCATGTCTGATTGTGAAGAGAGTTTCGTTTGCTCATGATGAAGCTTTGCTCTCCTACTCAACTACATGGAGCACAAAAGCCTCCTCTTCTCATCTTCTCTTTTCTATTGCCAAGGCTGCTTCTGTCAAAGATTCACAAAAGACGCCCACTGGTTCGCCAATGGAGAACACAACGAGAGCCTGCGGTTTCTAAAGGACTTGGCTGATGTCACCTGGTCGTGTGATGAAGGGCATGGAAAGGAGGATGAAGAGCTCATCTCTGGCCAACAGAAGTGAACCTATTAACCGCAGAATTCATTTTGCTGTGTTCCTCTACTGTATGCAGGAGATGAAAATAAGCATATTTCAATCTCTTATGTGACCATGAATCTTACAAGCAGTGATAGAAAATGATAAAATGTATTTTCGGTTGCCCAATTTAGCACACACAAGGTTGAATATTACAATTTTACTTCAGATGAGAAGCAAGATTAACAAGCATCCTTCACTAACCTAATAAAATAAAGGCATTCAGATGGAGACAGGGTCTGAATTAATTGCCATTAAAGTCTAATTGGCATTAAAGCACAATGATGTTATTAAGAGAGCTCTATGAATCCCGTTTCTCCATTAGATTCCTTGATGCTTAAGACGAAACGTAGGTTTGAGAAATGAGTACAGGTACAGTCTGGCCCCAAGGTCTGCTAATTGTATTAGATTTCTTAGAGCAAGCAAAGTGAGTCAATAAATATTTGAGGGATAACACTGATTCTGTCTCAGCGGAGAACCTTTGAACCGGCATGCTGGAAAACGGATAAATAGAGTCAAGGATTACAGTGTTGCAAATCTCAAAGTTAGCGCAATCGTCTCCCGCTCCTTACCTTCGAGGAAGAAAGCTGTGCGCTGTGGGATTTTTGCAATTTCTTGCATGGTGGGACAGGTGTATTTACTTTGGTAATTGTATCCCGTTTCCCAATTCATATTGTGATTAAATATTAATGCCATTCAGAGCACTAGAAAAAGCAGATCTCAGAAATTATCTAGGCAGCCATAATGCAAAACCGTTTTCTCCCACTTCCTAAGTCTTTGTTATTGTATGAAAGTGCACTGTAGCAATCTGGATAGCAACTCTTTTTCACTTTCATATAGGTTTGCAAAGGTGGTCTATCACATAAAATGGAAAGAAAATAACAGCCTTGACATTTAATCTCCAAGGACCCTCAGAGTGCAATCACAAACTATTTTACTTTAAATGTTTTACTAAATCCAATTGACATGCTTTCCCCAAACCTGCCTTAATAAAAGGCAAATGCCATTGCAAATCAATAGGAGTGTTAATTATATTTGTACAAACAGAAAATACAGTACAGAGGCTATGGGTCAATTGTAATGTATTCTCATTGCTAGATTAGCCCAGAAACTGAATTATTCATTAAATCATTTTAATGCAGGCAGTTGAGCATTAAAATCTCTTTTTAAAAAAAAAGAGTATTAACTTTTACTGCAATGCATCCTTAATTTAATGTCAACTGAGAATGAGTAGAGGGGTAATTTGGTCGTTTTAATTAGGGATGTAGTTCAAAATAGAATAATGACTTTATTGAGTTTTATCTCACCTGTCTCTTGACTTACTACTTTATGCCCAGAGAACTTCACACTGCCTAACTATTAGTACAGCGTGTTCCCAGCCTCTATGCAGATTGCACCTTTATTTTAAGATTAATAAGGTGGTTTGGACACTAACACTAACGAATTAAACATCATTTTGTATTTTTAAACTGCTCTACATAGTCATTACAACTCAAATAGACAAAAGTGGAAATATAATCAGACCCATAAGGCGCAAAAAAAAAAAAAATCAAATAAATATTGGTAAAATGGATGTTAAAAACTGTATATTTACATAAACACAGTTTGGATAAGAATATATATATATATATATTGTTCAGATGCAAAACCTCTACGTGCCGTCTGAAATTTTCTTCTAAAATGAGCATTTTTATCAGGCTCCTATATTTTTGTTTAGTTATTTCACTTTAATTACATGAAAGTAAAATATCTATATTGTTTAGTTTTTTGGACCGTTTACCGAAAAGCTTGGAAATGTATTTTCTTGCCCTTGAAGTACATTTTGTCATTAAAGGGTAAACAAATATATTTTCAAAATTAATACATTAAATAAGAACACAAAATACAATTTTTAAGTATATATGTTTTTTTCTTATCATTGTGCATTGGAATTAAATAGTGTTTTGTTTTCATAACTCATAATCACGGCATTAATTTTTATGTTGATGAAAAGACTTACTTGAAGTCTTCGAATTAGCAGTCATATTCTGCATGCTGTACCACACTGATGAGAGTCTAAATATTAAATATGTCTTTTCTACATGACCAGTGTCCAGAGGTCACAGCGAATGTCCAAGCCCTTGTAGTTACGGCTCCTCATGCCGAGCGCTGCGGGATCCAGGAAGAAATCCAAACTCTCACTGCCTTCACTATCGACACCCCACCCTGCCCTTAGGCCAGGCACCAGATTTTTCATGTCAGCTGGCACACACCTTCGTCTCATAAGTAGGTGTTTGACTTTCACAAGTCTCTCTCTATCCTGGCAAATGGACTCTTTGCCAAGGTTGCCATATCCTTGGGCTGTGTGGATGTCAGTTAAACATGCAGATTTCTTCTGCTTCACATGGTAGGAATTCCCACTGGGCTTCTATCAATGCTGCTGAATGTCTAATACAAGTTTTAACTTGTTTTAGAGCAGAAAATATCCTCCTAATTACTTCAATTTACATAATTACTCCTCTGGTAAAGACTCATATTGAAATCATTGTGAAAAGGCAATTTCATATGTAAATGTATCTTAAACGGTAAGAAATGCTATTGATAGTTTTCCACTGATGACGAACGAACATTTAGAGTTAACAAAACTACTGTAACACCTTCAGCACAAAAAAAAAAAAAAAAAAGCTGTTAATAAGTTTCCCTCATATAGTAATCTGAATATTAGCTCTTTAATTAACTGTATTTTCAAAAATGATATGTTAAATACATGGCTTAGGCTGCACTTAACAGTCTTAAATGGTTTAACTCGAGCTTCAGGATTCACTTATTTGTAAGTGTCAAAAAGACACAACTGCCAGGAAAAGAGAGATTTCCTAAAACATCTGAGTTGTATTGCAAGGCATTACTATTAGCGTGACTAAAAATGCTGTTCACTAGATTGGAAAAGAGGAGCGTCTTTTGTGGTGACATTTTCTGAAACTGAAATAGTTCTGAGAAAAACATCTAAGATGAGGACAAGTTTTTTTCTAATATATATATATATAGAACAACATATTAAAGGGATAGTT